AAACCACTTAGTCTCCCTTTTTTTATGCAAAACGATGAACCGCGCGGCAGATGCGGGCCGTGCGGAAACCGCTGTCTAGGAAACTAGCTATCCTCCTATCTCGTGGCTCAGTCTTCCCCCCTATTCTGCTGGTGTCGGTACGCGTTGCGTCATGCTCCGAGAGCTGGACAATCTAGCATTTACGCCACAGTTTTGTGTGTGTACGCTTGAATAAGCGTGCGCTGCTGCTTTTATGTTTCACCACAGCCATGAAATCCGGAGCCGGCCTCGACACGTCGCCACGCCGCGCTCGATATCCCTAGCTTAGTCATAATGGTCACGAGCAACTCACGACACCACCGGTTGGGAATTAAGGCCTACATGGCGGCCGATAAGACAGCAGGCCTGTCGGATACAATATTTCAGTCTTATTCAGGGCAGAAATCAGCGCTGCATTCCTTCACAAGTAGGTGATCATTCTCTATTCTGCCGTACTTGTCAGGTGTGCGATACGGATCGCACTTGCCGGCTACGGGCTCGGTCGTTGTGTATATCGCACGCATAAAATGCACCGCGAATGTCGGCTTCGGCGTCTGTAGTTCACCTGCGCTTTTTGACCGCTCGGAAATGCTGCCTTTGGGCGTACAAACGGTTTTGCGAGGGGGGGGGGGGGCAAACACAACTCACTCGTCAGTCGGGATATATATATATATATATATATATATATATATATATATATATATATATATATATATATATATATATATATATATATATATATATATATATATATATATATATATATATATATATATATATTCGTTCCCTTAAGTACGACTCTCCTTACACTACTGAGTTGTGGCCAGGGTGGCGGTGAGAGCGCTGCTGGCTGTGTTTTCCGCGACGCCACCAAGACAAAGTCTCACGTCTATCAAGCCGTTGGTAGATAGCTTTTTCAGTCAGGCAAGTGACCCCTACCTGCTAACAGCGTGCCAGATAAGACTCGACTGACGGTTGCCCAAGTTTGTTGCCAGCACTCAAATGATAACAAGGCTATATCAAGGAAGCTGTGACTAGTGTACGTGTTTCGAGTGCCTTATTTTACAGACTACCTGTTTTATTTTCAATGCAAAACCTTCCTTATTGAACTTCGGCGACTATAGGCGTATCTCTCTCTCTATCTATCTATCTATCGATCTATCTATCTATCTATCTGTCTGTCTATCTGGCCGTCTTTTAGCTCTCCTGGTCGTTTGGATAGTGGTATCGATATCAAACTTCGTATGGCATAACATGACTATATGACGAGCATAGTGGTTTAGGCATAACATGAAAATCATGAAATGTATGTAATGAATGTCATAACTTACATTTAATGGTCTTGCTGATCTTGCGGTGGTTTCGTTCTGAGATGTTGCAAAACTGGTTTGGTATGGCATGATTGCATGGCAAGCACAAGCGACATGCACTAACATAAAGATTATGACATTCATCCCATGTAACAACATGACTACATACTACACTCATGATGCGCTGTCGGCCATTTCATTAGCGTCACATATACCAAATTTGGTATTACGGTACGTGAATAGATGACGAAGGCATCTGACTGGTGCAAACATGATAATCATGAGATGCATGCCATGTAACAACACGACCACATGCGACGCTCAATAATGCGCTGGCTTTTATTTCTAACACTTTATTTCTAATAACGGAGCATTGCTTGATAGAGATGCTACTTGGGAAAATTCACAATGATTATTAAACACGATGGGCTTTCTTGGGGAACCTCGACGCCAAAGTTTTGGTCTGTCTGTCTGTCTGTCTGTCTGTCTGTCTGTCTGTTTTGTCTGTCTGTCTGTCTGTCTGTCTGTCTGTCCACGGTAGCGATCCCCTTACAGGCACCAAACCATACCTCAAATGGTCAGCCTCATGCGCAGCGCGCACCAATATTGCTCAAGTTTCAGCGTTCATGCTTGTGCGATAGTCAATTGAAAAAATTGGCCCTGTATCTGCATGTAATCTGCAAATGTCGTCGAAAGACAATAGTCTTGCGTGTGGAGAGAGTGAACAAAACATTTATTTGATGTTCTGCGCAAGAAAATCGGTGAATTATATTCTGGAGGCGCTGCGTTAGAGTGCCTCGAACGTGAAGCGGAGGTGAACGAGCGCATCAAACATGGAGGAAGGTGGCATCAAATCACGCCACACGTGAGACATGAGCGCCATATGGCAGTTTTTTTTTTTCGGAAAACAAAGCGCGTGGCCGTGCGCGCCCGTCTCAGAGGTGATAAGGTGTAGAACGCAAGGAGACGGGTAGGGGCCACCACCGTGTCTTCTTAGCAAAGCGTTGGAAACACTCGCCTTTCCGTGCAAGCGTTGCATGGTCAGCGCGGCGTGATAAGCGCTACGGTCCTTAGAATTACTTATGCGGGCCTTTTCTAGTAAAATACGAACATGCGGAATATATACGTTTTGTTATGGTGCCGCATATATGCGCGATAATTATTTTTAATTGACAATTGCACACGTAAGAACGCTGATCCTTCAGCAACATTGGTGGGCGCTGCGGATGGGGTCAGCCGTTCGGGGTATCGGCTGGTGCTGTTTAGAGTACTCGATTCGCAGTAATGGTGGACAAACATACAAATGTACAGAAAGACATACAGACCAATGTTTTTGCGTCGAAGGTCACCAAGAAAGACTATCGTCTTTAAAAGCAATTATTTCGCATCTCGGAGGCACCATAAGTGCCTTCATACTAGAGAAGGCGCACACAAGTAATTTTAAGGACCAAAGCACTTATCACACAGCGCTTACAGTGCAACGCGATGGTCAAAAGGGCAAGTGTTTCCAACGCTTTGCTCAGACGACACGGTGATGGCCCCTGCCCGTCGCTTTCCGTTCTACTCCTTATCACCTCCGTGACAGGCGCGCATCTTTCTCCACGGGCGCTCACGCCTTCCTTCGTTTTCGAAGATAACTGCCAGATGGTGCTCGTGTCTAACGTGCCTCGATGTGCTCGTTCACCTTCGCTGCACGGATCCAGACTCTCTAGCGCAGCGCTTCCAGAATACAATACGCCGATTTTCTCGCGCCGAACATCAAATAAACGCTTCGTTCACTCTCTCCACACACAAGACTATTGTCTTTCGAACACATTTGCACTGAAACATGCAAATAAGGGGCCAATTTTTATTATCGAATCCACGCATTTCAGATGTTATAGTTCACAATATTAATTTACGTTTTAAAAGAAATGTTTTCAGCTTCATAAAATTATTGCAAAAAAATGCCATTGACATGTGACATAACAGAACTGCTGTATCATGGTTAGATCTCTCAATTTCACCATGCGATACCTGAGCATGATTTAGTTTGGCTTTGAGGGGGACAGTTAAACACGCAACCGCTTCAGTTTTTTCCTAAGAAACTTCGCGGATATATGAAAAATGCATTGTTAGTACTCGCGCATTGACAGTTGTTCAGACTAGTTGTCAGAAAACTCTTGAAGAAGAATGCAAATGTGCGCGAAATGACCCAGCCAAGGAAATGCGCAGGCAAATAAAAAGAACAACTAAAGAAACTTATCACCGGATACACACGAGAACAGTCATTACGGCTAAATGTCTCATCCGGTTTGTCATGTTATAAGCGATGGTGGTGAAAGGTCTAGTCCAAACGTTTTCAGTCATGACCAGTCACTCGGGTGCATATATGTGCTGGCGTTCGAAAACATTTCTGTTTACAAGCGAGAATCAATAGTTCCAGGGTGAGTGTTCTTTTAACATCGCTCAATTTCTATGGGCAACGAGCGCTGTAGTTTCCGCGAACATAGAGCGCCACCCTGCCGAGAATGGCCGGAAATATTGGGGCATAAAATTAAATATTACATGGAGACGAGATGAATAAATACAGGGTGACGAGATGAGGTGCTGGGCGGTGAGACAGCAGCATCTGAGAAGTGAGCGTAAGCCCCTAGGAATTCCCGGGGGAGCTTGATTTTTGCGGTGGTGAAGCGCAGGGGGCGGATGTAAGTGGCGGTCACTTGATCTCTTAACCGCAACTCGCGCACCGCAACGCTGAAATACGGCACTCTAGCCCAGCCACCCGATTGCATCCGACCACTCACACCATCTCCCCCTCCTTTTATTCTCTTTTTCGCACTTCACTCTTCGTGCCCACGCCTATTCAGCGCGGGCCTCACGTCCTCATTGTCTTTTTTTTTGTTCACAAGCACAGGTATAATTCTACATGTATTATTTGGCAGGTGTGGGGGTCTGCGCCACAGAACTGTTAGGCATTTTACTTTTTCTTTATAGAACTTCATTGACGTAGGTCATCACGACAGCTTTAGTTTGGCAGAAAACAACTGTATATCTTGAGAGCTTCAAGGCGCTCACTGGGCGAGTTAGTATTATAGCAGTTTTCGAGTCAAGTAACTGAAGCAGCTTGCACACGCACACCTTCGCACTTCTTTCTAATGCGCGCTACAGCTTATCGGAGTACAAAAGAACGCAAGAGCTTGCGCACGTAAGCCATCTAAAAATAATTGATGACTGTTGGGGTTTAACATCCCGAAACTACCGTATGGCTTCATGAGACACCGCAGGGGAGAACTCGGGAAAATGTGGTCTTCTTCGGCTCTTTAACATGCACCTCAATTTGAGCACACAGGCCTCAAGCATTTTCATCTTCATTCAAAATAAGGCCGCCGCGGTCACAATTAAACGCCTTGTTGACGAAAAAAAGTTATTAGTAGTGAGCAACGCTGTATAAGGGTGGAAGCATTTCGGTCAGATGATGCAGTTCCGTTCAAGAAGGAGTGGGGAGCAAGACTCAAATTTCTATGGTAGCCCAGGGCGTTCGTGGTGATCGTGGATTATGCTTTGTAAACAGGCACCCTCTAGTTCCCCTTCGCCCTACCACCATGAGTGAATACTGAGGACTGTCCGGTTTTACATCCTTTTTGCATTTTCTTTCCCTTTAACAGGCAAATGAACTGCGAGGCAGCAGCAATGGCACCTAGAAAGCCCTACACTCAACTCGTTGATGGCGTACCCCGAGATCCCAATTACGACGCCGAGTTATTCCGGTCGAGCATGAATTTCCGGGCTGAGAGCGGGGACTTGGTCCTGCACACCTACCCAAAGAGTGGTACACACCTGTTGCTGTACATCACGCAGTGCATTCTCAACAAAGGCGAAGAAGCACGCACCTACGAAGAATTTGCAGGAAGCACGCGACTGCTAGGAGGCATGGATTTCGCCGACTGGCGACCACCCCTACCCCTGCGCCTTTTCTCGACTCACCTACCACCACAAAGGAGCACCATAAATGAGCAGGCGAAATACGTCTACTTGGCTCGGAACCCATGGGACGTTTGCGTTTCCCTATTTCACATGGTAACGGACTTTAGCACGTACCGCTTTCAAGACGGCACGTTCGATGAGTTCTTTGACGATTTTCTGGAAGGTGACGCTGCTGGTCACGGGTGCTACTTCAACCACGTGGCGTCCGGGCACGCCCTGAGGCACGAACCGAACGTCCTATTTGTCACCTACGAGGAACTCCTCAGAGACACTCGGGCGGTTGTCAAGGCGCTGGCTCGGTTTCTTGGCGAAGAATATGCTGCAGATTTACAAGCTAACGACTCCATATTGTGAGCGCGACAAGCGAATGATTCTTTATTCTCTTTGATATCATCATCACCTGTACATCTTCTTCATCTGAAAATATCATCACCAGCGTGATTTAGCTCGAGCTCACACCTCACAAGTGGTGGACTGTGCTTTTCGTTCCCTCAAGTCCTCTCGCCCGTTCTCGCTGGAGCTTCGCACGGGTCGTCGCATACAACCCCCTGCCATGGCGGCCCAAGAAAACCCTGGCCCATCCAACGTCGCCGTCCTACTGCAGCCACCGCCGCCCGCTCCGCCCAACAACATTCGCCTGCGTGATCCACTTGTGTTTTCCGGTCTCCGAGGCGATGATGTCGAAGACTGGATCAAGAACTACGACCTCGTCAGCGATTTGAACATGTGGGACAATCCACAGAAGTTGCGCAGCATCCCATTTTACTTGTCCGATGTTGCGAAAACTTGGTTCTGGAACCACCACCCGGATCTTCCCGACTGGGACACTTTCGAGCAGCAAATTCGTCAGATATTTGGCGCCCCTGCAGTTCGCACTAAGGCAGCAAAAGAAGAAACTTGCTGAACGCACGCAGCTGCCGGGTGAATCTTACACATCTTATATTGAGGATGTCCTTGCACTGTGCAAGCGCGTTAACACCGGCATGTCTCAGAACGACCAAATACGCCACATTATTAAGGCATTAACACCGTCGCCTTTAATGCCCTCGCCACGCAAAATCCTGCCACCACCCAGGACGTGATAACCATCTGTCAGCGACTTGACGAGCTTCAGTCTCTTCGCCTTTGCTACGATGCCACCGAAGTTTGTTTGCCTGCGCCCCTCGACTTGCGTGCGCTTATTCGCGACATCGTTCGTGAAGAGCTGCACGGGTGCTGCTCTTCCTGTGCTGCGGAAGTTACTTTCCCTTCTGAAAAAGATAGCTTGCGAGACCTGATTAAACAAGAGATCGCCTCCGCATCAGGTGCGACTTGTTCCAACAGTCCCTGCGTGCGCCAGACGCGCACGTACGCCGAAATTGCCGCGCTCTCTGCCGCACCCACCGTTTCTGTGCCTACAACAGCAGACCATACGCCTGTGGCTTCGTTATCACCGCCAGTGCGTGCACCACCTTACTACGCACCTCAGCGCCCACCTCGACCAATCTGTTACTGCTGCGGCTATCGAGGACATATCGCTCGGTTTTGTCGAAGGCGCCAACAAGACGAGCAACGTGGCTACGCTCCCGAAGAATCTCGAAGCTTCCGTCCGACCATGAACTACCTACGACCACCCTCCCGATCGTCCTATTACCGTTCACCGTCACCTACTTACCATACGGACATGCCTGGGCATTCCCGTACGTCTCGCCGCAGGTCGCCTTCGCCAGGTCGCCGTTCCGTGTCACCTCTACGGCCCGCCTCCCATTCCACGAACGCCCACGTGGAAAACTCCCCAATGCAGTTTTAGGAGGGGAAACTGCATCCTCTGGACAGCTAAAAATTCCTCCAGAGCGGCCATCGAGTTTCATAGTAGTGATTGTAGAAGGTGTACGTGTTGAGGCTCTTGTAGACACTGGCGCTGCCGTTTCGATTATTCGTGCTGATTTTTGTTCCCACCTTCGAAAAGTCACCACACCTTATGGCGGCCCACCTCTACGTGCGGCGACCAACGCTCTCATTCGTCCACTTGCACAGTGCACCGTTCGTGTCTGCATAGAAGGCATTCGTCATCACATTGTTTTCGCGGTATTCCGTGAGGGCACCCACGCTCTCATTCTTGGGTGGGATTCTTGTCTTCTGCGTCCGCTTTCATATCATGTCATCAGCACCTCCTGCATCTAAATGCCACTGACTCTTCTCCGCTTGAACACGATGGACGCATCCGCCTTGTCACCAAGTCAGATTATGTACTTCGGCCATACATCGAAGAAATTATAAGTGTTAATTGCACCAACATTGTGGATGGCGACGTACTAATTCTCCCTTATGGCCATACCCTACGTAGGGGCATTGCGATCACACCAGCGCTTATTCGCTTCTTCGATGGGTCTACGCATCTAACCGCCATAAATCAAACGCCCGAGTGTGTACTGCTTCCATGTGGCTCAACAGTATCTTGCGCGGTCGACAGTGAGCCTGTTGCGATTGTTACTCTTCCGAACAACAACCACAACGATGTTCCGAAGTCACAATCACTGCCATTCAATGCCTCTGCCACACCTGTGTCCGCAACAATAAGCAATGACTTAACACCTGATCAAACTGAAGATTTGCTCGCCCTGTTAAATAAACACCGTTTTCTATTTGACGTGAACTCGCCCGCCCTCAGCATGACTACCACCGCAACTCACAGCATCCAGACTGACGGTTCTCGTATTGTACATCGGCGTCCATATCGCGCGTCTCAGGCAGAACGCAAAATCATCGAGGAAAACGTCTCAGACATGCTACGACGCAACATCATACGTCCTTCCTCGAGTCCCTGGTCATCCGCAGTTGTTCTCGTTCAAAAGAAAGATGGGACAGTGCGCTTCTGCGTCGGTTACCGTGCGCTAAACAAAATAACGCGCAAGAATGTTTATCCCCTCCCTCGGATCGACGATGCACTGGATTCATTACAGGGCGCAGAGTATTTTTCTAGCCTCGACCTTAGGTCAGGCTACTGGCAGATACCAATGTCGGAGTCTGATAAAAAGAAGACCGCCTTTTCAACGCCACATGGGTTGTACGAGTTCAATGTGATGCCTTTTGAACTCTGTAATGCGCCCGCCACCTTCAAACGCATGATAGACGGCGTATTGCGTGGTTGGTTTGAAATGGAAAACATGTCTGTGCTATCTCGATGACATAGTAGTGTTTTCATCCACGTTCTCGCAGCATCTACAACGTCTTGACGAAGTCCTCACATGCCTTGCAAAAGTCGATCTATAGCTTAACACCAAGAAATGTACCTTTGCTAGCAAGACAATCAAGGTTCTCGGCCACCTTGTCAGCAAAGAAGGAATTCGGCCCGATCCCGAGAAGCTTGCCGCTGTCCTCGATTTTCCGCGTCCAGTACGTCAAAAGGACCTGCGCAGCTTTCTTAGGTTATCTTCTTACTTCCGGCGCTTCATACGTGGTTTCGCGGAACTTGCGTCTCCGCTCCATCAACTCCTCGCAAAGAACGTCCCCTTCATTTGGTCCGAAGACTGCGAAAGCGCTTTCACGGCATTGAAGCAAGCCCTCACGTCGGATCCGGTATTGTGCCACTTCGATTCCACCGCACCCACCATCCTTCACACCAACGCAAGTAGTGATGGTCTTGGTGCGGTACTCTTGCAGCGTGACAAAAACTCACGCGAACCCGTCGTTGCTTACGCGAGTCATGCTCTTACCGCTCCAGAAAAGAACTACACTATCACTGAGCAGGAGTGCCTTGCTGTTGTTTGGGCATTGCAAAGATTCCGACCATATCTTCACGGCCGTCATTTTACCGTCGTGACCGACCATAACGCCCTATGCTGGCTTTCATCGCTGAAAAACTTATGGGGTCGCCTCGGTCGCTGGGCGACTCGCTTGCAGGAGTATGATTTCGATGTCGCCTACAGATCTGGGAAGAAGCATCAGGATGCAGATGCTCTATCGCGCTGTCCTTTGCCCAGCGGAAGCCACTCACCATCGATACTCCAAAACGACAGCACCTCTCCAATCGCAGTGCTAAGTTCATCACCTGCCACCCTATCCATCCTTGTTTCACAACAACGTGTCGACCCATACTGCCGCACCATTGTTGACCGTTTGACCGGCTCTACTACTCCTCCAAACGCCAGACTCCGTCGACAACCTAAACAATTTAAGCTTGTCGGTGATGCTTTATGTCGCTACATTTACCACATCGATGGCAACAAGTAGGTACCCGTCATCCCACGTTCTCTGCAACGTGAAGTTCTGGAAGCCTTTCATGATGATCCAACCACCGCTCATCTAGGCTATCACAAGACTTACGACAAAATACGCAGTCGTTGTTTTTGGCCTGGCCTCTCTTCAGCCGTCGCTAAGTACGTCGCCTCCTGTGTCCATTGCCAACGGCGAAAACGACCGACAACTGCTCCGGCTGGCTTAATGCAACCTCTTCCTTGCCCCGCCTCGCCTTTTGAAGTCGTTGGAATCGACTTGTATGGCCCTCTTCCTATATCATCCAATGGGAATCGCTGGATTGTCACGGCCGTCGACCACCTTACCCGCTACGCAGAAACAGCTTCTATACCATCTGGGACTGCCACTGAGATCGCCGATTTCTTTCTTCGCCACACCTTCTTGCGTCAAGGAGCGCCACGCATTCTCCTCAGTGATCGTGGCAAAGTCTTCCTATCTTCCATTGTCGAGCAAGTTTTACGTGCCTCGAACACTGTTCACAAGACCACTTCTAGCTACCACCCGCAGACCAACGGATTGACTGAACGGTTTCATCGGACCCTATCGGACATGATCGCCATGTACATTCACCCCAACCACACGAACTGGGATGCAATTCTACCCTTCGTGACATTCGCCTATAATACGGCTGCTCAACGCACTACCGGCTTTCCTCCATTTTTTCTCGTCCATGGTCGCTCGCCGAGTTTCGCTCTGGATGTCTCTTTCCTTTCGGCCCCTGCACCCTCGACGGCTCCTTTCTCTGAATCTCGTCTCGCACACTGCCATCACCAGGCCCGTGGTAACACCGGCCTCTCCCAAGACACTCTAAAATCTCGCTACGACTCGTCTCGCCGTGTTGTGAGTTTTTCCCCTAGTGACGAAGTTCTTCTATGGACTCCACTACGCGTCCCCGGCCTATGCGAAAAATTCATCAGTTGCTTCATTAAGCCGTACACGGTGCTCGAACAGACATCTCCTGTCAATTACCGCGTTTCTCCTCTTAGCGCTAGTCCTGATCATCGTTGCCGAGGAACAGAGATAGTGCCCGTATCTCGTTTAAAGCCTTATGCGCAACGCATTTCATAATACTGTCTAGCGACCAGGTGGCCGCTTTCACCGCGCGGGGGAATTAGTGT